TATTTCCAAAACTGGTATCTTCCCAAGAATACATGCATGAAACTTTTTTGTGATGTAGTCGAAGTTGCAGCTCCCTCGTGGGTGCTGTTTCCTGGATAAAAATATGGAGAGGAGTCAGTCATTGAATCGACTCTAGAGGCGCAGTTTAGTACGCTCTTATTGATCCAGTGGCGGATAGACATGCCAATCTTTGCAGTTAGTTAAGGCAAAGGGTGGCAGTTTTTTGCAGTGTCTTAACCCTTCTGCAATGAAGGGGTAAAAAATTACCCAATTTTCATGAAAAATGTCTGTAATTACAGACACAAAAAGAAAAACAATTTTTATTTTATTTTATTTTCTAGAAGGCGACATAATTTTTCATACATGCACAGTGTTTCTAGCTCATTTTGATCCAAATTATTATTTAGTGATTAAGGGCAACTTCGAATCGGTAAGCATACAGGGGTAAATTCCAAACACTGCAGACAAGTCTACCAATACTCCGAGGTATTTGACGTATGGCTTTGGCACGATCACACTCCTTCCACTTTTGAGACATCGTCAACAAATCTAACAAAGGGATACGTAGGATTCCACTGAACGTGATGTTGCACAGCTAAGGTCCAGGCACCGATCCCTTCGGTACTTCGGCCGTGAGTGCGTCATCTTAAGGGCCATTGTCAGTGAGTTCTCTGAGGCCGCGGTAACTGGAGTAGCTCTCCAGAATGGCTTGCAGGATTAAGGGAACTAATCTGGGGAAAAAAGTGCGTGAGGAAGTAATTCAAGCTACTGCAAAACATTTCCAAACTTCCTCACCACGGGATCTGTACCCCATTGTGAGTAAACGTGGCGCTCATCTTGCCAGTTCAACATCAAACCGTTGTAAATGAAGCAGCATACCCAGAGTCAGTTTTGGAGCCATCAGTGAAGATTCTGCAATGTGTGTGTTATAGAATCTCTTCAAAGGTAGTAAATAGTGGCATACTATCTTTTGGCATTGAAAAGAAACAAGTGGTTGGATCTCTGCCGCCAGGAATTTTTGCCTCTCCCCACTAAGTGCTATACCAACATCCATTTCTTTTTAGTCTGCAGGTGGCCTTTAGAACTTTCCCATCTATGAAGACGCAAAGTGACCGTAAGTGCAGCAGTGCATCCAGAGCAGCGCCAAATTTAAAGAATTCGACTAAAGAGGGATTTTTACAACTCAAGTGTGGTTAAGAGAGTTGAAATAGATATGTATTGGGAATACTGAAGCGGTGAAATTTTCTGCTGGGTTGCCTACTTTTCTACAGCCGTTAACAGCTTGTCAGCATTTTAAATATTAATTAAAATTTAAGCACTAAGAGCGAAATATATGCCTCTGTTACCTTATTGCTTTTTTGCCTTACTAATATTGTGCTATAATGGAGCTGCTGCTTTTTGCCACTTGATTGCAAAAGAATATGGCTACTGATTAATGTAAGAAGAAAAACAAAAAAAAAAAAATGTTTCTAGAGCCAAAAATTTGGAATTTCTTATATGTATATTTAAGTTGATTTTTGGAGCTCTACGGCCGGTTGAAACAAAAAAGAAAATAAAGTTTATTTTATTCGCCTACGCATTTCGGCATCTTTTCCGCCTTCATCAGGGGGTCTGTTTATTCCAAACAAAACATAAAAACACTATCAAAAATCAGCTTAAATCTATAATAAATTTTAATATTTATGATACAAAATACTTTAATCTTATCTATTTATGAATGTACATACCTACTTACAACTCCGCTTCTATAAAATTTTTATGTATTTATTTATTTTTAGTGCCAAAATTCTTTTAATTATAAGGCGGTACTTGACGCGCAGATTTCTACACGAAATCTCAAGTAGGGGTGGTAAAACTGTGTGCGATAGGAGAGACTTGGGATGATAGATATTCTGCATACCTTAAATAAAAATCTACTACATGCCATAAAATAAATACATACATACGAAAACACATATTTACTTACATATGTGTAGATGAATGACAGTATCAAAACGAAAAATAAGTCGAGTGAGTTATTTATAATACAGTTGGGAAATAACGGTGGCGCTGTCTATACATAATATACTATATAAATATTGTGCATACTAAATATGTACATAAACTTATGTATGTCTGATGATTAACCAAAATTGCTATTAGTTATGTATTGCAATTTCTTTAGTTGCAACACGCTTACAAATTTACTAACCCGAACTCCATTGTTCCGTAAATATGTTTTTTTGGGGTTTTTTTTTTGAAACTCCAACACGAAACCGCTGCCCGATTGTTTGAATACGACGTAATGTACAATTTAAAAAATTTATAAAAATTAATTATGATGAAAAACGCGACTTGCAGCTTGTTTAAAGGGCGCGCTGCTTGTTTTTATATCAAAATAAATTTTTTTTGTTAGGTTTTACAAAGTACTATTTTGTGCTGTATTCATATGCAAATTCATAAATACATATTAGGGTGGTACTCAAAAACAACATCTAAATGTTGTATTCGGCACCACTTTATTTTGTTCTGGGTAAAAAATAAAGACATCAACAAAAATTTGAAAAATTTACACAAATTTTTGGGGGTCGCTACTTGGGTTTGAAAACAATTATTTTTTTAAATCTCAAAAATTCTAAAAAAAAATTTGACTATAAAGTTAACATATTGTTGAAACTTATTCATATACATTCATAAACTCACAGAGTCAAATCTGGACAAAGCAAAAAAATTTGTCGCATTTTCGCGACTTTTTTTTTAATTTTTTCACTCCCATTTTTTTTAATTTTGAGATATTCGTGGACGTCATTATTTTGTACGTAGAAAAAAATAAAGTAAGGTGTGCCCCATGTTGTTCATATTTTTTTAAAGCACCAGCATAATACATATGTATCATCCACATGTTACACAAATTTCGCTCTTACACAGGGTGATCCAATTGAATCGGAAGTTGTTAAATCTTATAGATTATTACCTACTATTTTGCGACCTAGCTAACCCTTAAGGAGTTACTCGCACCTTGGCCTACTTAAGAAATTTAGCAATTCGGATGGTGTCATGTTCCAGACGACGGATGGAAACAATAACGCAGCGCAACAAGTTTCAAAAAATTGGAGCTGACGGGAATCGGACCAACACGCCCCCTGTTCACGCACGGCCAGAAGGCCAAGAGTGTACCATAGGTTATCAATGGCACCCCAGCCAATTCTTATCCGATGATCAAGTTTTAAGGGTACCTTTTCTAGCCAATTCGTCAGCCACGCATTTTTCGGCAAGGTAGCTGTGCCCCAGAACCCAAATGAGCTTAATACAGAAATATTCTCACGGAACTGAAAGAGAAAGCAGACGTTCCTCAACTACAAAAATTAGAGCACACCCCCAACGCACTTACGGCCTTGATAGCCGCGTGGCTATCAGAATAGATGCTCACTTCCCTAACTGACCTCGGACTGCTGAGTAATGAATCCATCACCTCTTTAATGGCAGGCTGACACTGCATCAGACCGGAAGCCTTAACTTAGTACTCCACAACCCTGCCTTCCAGTTTCGATCCATCTTTGAAGAAGTCCACTGTTTCTCCTCTCCAGAAACTCTGCCCGGCCCAATTCCCTCTTAGCGGAAAATGGGCAGAGAAGAAGCTCCTAGGAGCTCCATTTCGGTGCTGCAGTAATCCATGTGATCAGGGATGAAATCGTAGCCACCAGAATGCCAGAGAGTCAAGTAAATAAATTCTGATTGGCGCTAGCGTAGATTTCTCAAGTCAGTTCCACCAGAAAAAGGCTCCATAAAACATAATAGGCTTGACTACGGTCTCGTAGATCTGTTAAACAACTTTGGGCAAAACACCCCATCTCTTTTCAATAGCTTCCCTAAGACCCCAAAGGAGTCATGAAATTCTGTTTCCCGTCGTGTATTGTTATTATGGTTGCCTTGTTAGATCTGCGAATTTATAACCAGATTAGTTCTACTTACTTACAGACCTCCGCTTGAAATATGCTCACTGGTATATCTGGTAAAATTATTGCTATAATAAGGTCCACAAAAAGAAATCCTTCCACCTATTCCGATGGCCATTTTTCAAATACCTGTGGAAATAGGAGTTAAACATTGTATTGAAGTTTTGGAGCAGACAGCTCCAATTTCCTGCGAATCCACAGGTACATGACTTTATTATCCGCGCATGTCTGTACTACTTTTCTTTTCCAGTATGCGCATTCTTAGGCTGATTTCAGAATCGTTTCTTGGATAAACAGATTAGTCAAAGACAAATGGTAGATCATATATTGTTTGGGTGTGAGCCTATTGCCCTTGTCATCGCAACCCAACAACGCGGTTAGAGTTTAATACTTTCAAAGATGAAGCGTCGACGTACATTCGAACGACAAGGCCAAGCCCTGTATTTTAATTCGCTGCACCATGTCCCTGTCGTTGTAGAGCTCATACAGCTCATCATTTCATCGCCAGCGGTACTCGCCGTCGCCAACGCGTAAAGGTCCGTAAATCTTGTGCGCTTTAGCTTAGGTTAGGTTAATATAGCCGGCGCTGAGCCACGCATAGACCGGTAGGTCCTTGGAGTGCGCCTTAGGAGCATTAATCATCCACGAGTCAGAGGGTTGCTTTCGGAAGCTCTGAGTTCCACGTCATCGCCAAACATTCAATGGACTTTTTCTCAACCGTAAGGTTGTAAAATAATAGTGAGAGAGTTCCTCTCAGAGTGGTGGCTCTAGTTCAGAGTCTAGCTATGGACTTGACTGCCCTTATCTTCCCGAAAAGTGGGCGCGCTATGAAATAATACTTTTAAATTCTGGTAGTTGGGTATTAGGGTCGCTGATTACGAGCCTTCGGCTGCAAGCAATTCATTTGGATCACCTAACATTCACTAGGCATTACATTATACATATATATGTACACTTCCTCTCACAAACTTTTGATAATTAGAATCACCATAATTAACTTTCCTTTCTCTGTAATTCCTTTTCTTTCTGTATCTCTCTCTCTCTCACTCTCTCTCTCTCTTACAGGAGATACCAGTAATGCTGCTGCTACTAATGCCGCTGTTGACAAAGGAACACTAGGAAGTGTCACGCCCGCAAGCGCCGTCACAACGCCAACTGATGCACCAGATGGCACCGCAGAGAAACGCATCACTTTCACGCTAACAACCGATTCGTCACCCGAGGGTAGCCAAACACTGACACCGAAAAAATTCGACGTAATTACCGAAGAGGACATGCTGCATAGTGTTGTCGAACCATCGAAAAAGTCCGATTCAAATGAGGTGATACTCCGTCCGCCACGTTTCATCGATCGCCAAACACATTTGTTGAGTTCCACAGCTGGCATGAGTTCGCCACGCAAGCTCAAACGTAGCGCCACCAGCGTGCCACATTTCAATGTACGCAGCGCTGCCAGTGAGACCGACATCTTCTCCATAACCGGTTCGGGTTCGCGCATTAGTATGACACCCGAAGTGCCGTCCATATCATTTAGCAATTTGCCGAAAAACTACGAAGATACGCCAACTATTGAAAAGTATCGCGTTTCGCAGAGTCTCTACTCCATACAAACGGCAAATGCGGCACGCGTCAATCAGGCTGACTATTCGATGCCGCGTTATTTCCGACGCTCGGCGGCATTGACACAAAGCAATGAATTGCTATCTTCAGCACCATCCACATCTTCGATGAATTCGATGTCAACGTCCAATGAGGGCATGCATCATCATAAGGGCGAGAAGGGCAAGAGTAAGCGATTGCAAGCGTTGCGTGGTAATTTGCCGCCATTGCTGATACATTCAGTGTCATTTCGCAAGAACAAGGAGGAGGGTAAACAGCTCGATTAGGCGCGTGGGGAGGGGAGAGGCGGCCTAGTCAAGGACAGGAGGTTAATGGGTAAATTCCACAAGGATTGTGGGGCAGGAAAATAAGGAGAAGTGGAAATGGAAGGCTATGAGGAAGAGGTACTAGAAGCAGCAGGAGGAAGAGGGGAATGAGCTGGAGATGCAGTAGAACGAAGAGGAAGAGGAGAGCGTTATGCCATTTTGCATTGTACTTAAGTGAGCGCAAAGAAGAAATATAAAATATTAGAGGTTATTTTACAGTGAAGCTTCGTGTATTTAGTCCATTAAACATTTAAATTAAGTAAAAAAGTTTTGCAAGAAGAATGTTTACCTTGAAGCTATTACAAATTTTCATCTTGACGCTCGAAATTCAAATTGCATGAGAGGAAAAAACGCAGTTTATTATTGCATACTTTTAGGCGCTGCGAAGGGTCAAGAAAAAATATGAAAATTGGAAGTCAATTCGCATTTTCACCACCAACACTTCTATATGCTAAAAATATATTGTTAAATACAGTTGAATTTCGATAACTCGAGCCAACTTTATATACAACAAAAAATTAATTGGCACACCGCTAATACATTTTTGAAATCACTATAGTAATTCTAGTCATAGTCTTGTCACAGAATTCTATATAGCTCGCTCTCTAAATGGTGTTGCCAATAGATTTCCTTCCAGTTTGAGAAAATTTATGTTGCAAAAGTTTGAGTTTGTGTGGCTCTACTGTTGTTCATTAAGTCAGACTTGGAGATGGATATAGTCAAACTAAATGGTGGCGAAACTTTTTTTTTTTTGAATAGCATATCAGTAAAAATCTGAATGTATGCTTTTTTTTTAATTTCTTTAAAATAATTTAAAACTAAATAAAATTTACTCTACATATACATTCATACATGTTTGTATCTATTATATAAGTAAATCCTCCTTGCAATATTGTCGCCATAAAATATACTTTTGTTAAAAATAAATTGAGAAAAAAATGCATGAAAAAATATTTGTTATAGAATTCACCGTGCGTATTGTTCGATTTACCCAGTCTTCGCTGTAAGTCGAAACGCAAATAAAAATGTAAAGCTTTTCTTCAATATTCCCAGTTACTGTAGTCCATCTAAGCGAAGCTTCACTGTACTTAAAAAAAAAAAAGCAGCTCAAACTCAACAAAAATTTTAAAATGTAATGTAAACATTTATTTTCATATTTTTAAATATTCCAGTATTTGTTAAATGCAACTTTATATACATATGTACATATCTTAATTATAATTATTATTGTTATAACCAAATGAAGTATACGAAATATGCGATATTGTATTGTATCGAAAATTGAGCATAAGTGGATTCATTTCAATAAAGTATAGAATTGTAATGGAAATAAATTACAAATTTTAACGAGACTGTGTTTCTAAATTAAATTTTTTTTTTAAGAAATGACAAAGGTAAGTACACTGGATGTGGAACATAAACTGATATAAATAGTTTTTAATAGTCGACAACTGAGTTCTTTTATGCAACAAAGCCACTATTTAAATATGTTTTTTTTTTTTAAATTTTAGCAATTAATAAGATCGTAAATTTGTAAGCAAAGCTAGAATCGATTTCGGTATGCAGGAGATTTAATTTTCATTATTTCCTCTGAGAGTGCAACAACGTAGACTATAAAGCCTGATGTCAAGTTTCCTCCCACAAAATTGAAATGAAAAAAATGTGCGCCATTTAATAAACGATATGTGAAGTTGAACTTACGCCGAATTTCTACTAGGCATTGAAGTTACAAAACTTACGAAAAATTTTCCAAACTTTAAGCAAACGGCATGTGGAAACAGGCTTAATGCCACTTATTTTTTTATTTTATTGCTTTTATTGCCTTACTTGCCTTACTTTAATTATTTTATATTATTTAACTGCATTTGACTTAATTTAACATTATTTTAAGCTAATTAATTTTATATCTTGGCTTAATATTATTTTATTTAATTTAATTTTTTTATTTATTTTAGTTCCATGTTTCCATTATTTTATTTTTATTTGTTTTGTTTTATTAAATTTTGAGTATTATTTTATTTAGATTTATTTTCTTTCATTTCGTTTCACTTTATTTTGTTATTTTATATATTTTCCTTTTATTTTAATTAATTTCATTGGGATTTATTTTATTTTATTGTTTTATTTTTCATAATATTATCTCTCTATTTTTATTTGAATCTTATTTAGTGTTTTATTTTATTAATTCTTTTACGTTACTTAAACTATTTTAATTTATCTTATTTTAATATTTATTGTATTATATTTGTATTTATATTAAAACCATTTTATTCCACTTTATATTATTTTACACATTTCCATTAATTTGTTTGCTTCATTTACTATTTTTATTATTTGATTTCGTTTAATGAATTAAAATTTTTTATTAGATTATTTTACATTGTTTTTTATTTATTTAATTTATTTTATTTTACTTTATTGTATTCCATTTCATTTAAGTTTATGTATTTTAGTTTCTAATTTATCCGATTTTTTTGATTTTATTTTATTTTATTAAATTTTATTTTAGTATTTAGTTTTAAGTTATTTAGTTTAACCTTACTTTTTCGCATTTGATTTATTGTATTCAACCTGAATTTATTTTTCAGTTGTATGCATTTCATTTTAGTTTACAGATTTAATTCAATATTTTACTTTATTTTATGTTTTTATTTATTCATTTTGTTGAATTTATTTTAGTTGTATGTTCTAAATTATTTTACTTTATGTTATTTTTATTTAATTTGATTTCCTTTATTGTAGCTATCCAATTTCATTTAATTGAATGTAATTTTATTCTTTACTCTATATATTTATTTAAATTTTTTATTTTGTTGTATTTTTCTTTATTTTATAGGATTTTATTTTATTTTTTTCGGTTCATTTAGATTAATTTCCCTAACTAATTCAAATTAAATATATTCCCCTAATGTGATTTGAAAATTCCCAATACAACCAACCAAAAACAACGCCGTTCAAATTTCTACACTCATCGGCCACACACTTTTTCGTTACATCTCCTTCACAAACGCACAAACGCATAGCTGGGAGAGCGCAAAAGCACAGTATTAAGTTCATTGTCCGGTGGTGTGGCAGAGCTTGTGTTTATGTGTCGTCGCGTGTTAGAAATTGTGTGAAAATTAGTTATAAAATGTGAAAAAATTAAGTATTAAAGTGTTCCAACAAAATTGTGTATAGAATTTTAACGATTGCAAGTGTTTTTCACACATAAATCGGTTATTTAAATAGCAAACATTTTTACCATTTGCTCCATTCATTTTGTTTTCATGTTTCGTGGAAGCGCCGCATCGCTGATGTGTTTGCTTTGCGCACAGTCGCTGCCGTCGTCGCCACTTCCAATTGGGGGAAATGTCTGTATTCTCCCACTCGCCCTATTCGTAAACAAGCCGAGAGCAGTGAGTGTGTTGTCGGTGATTTTGGAAGCAATACAAATTTGTGTAATTGTGTGTTAATGGATGAAAACATACATATTTAATTTTATATAAAAAATTTGAGGAAAATGAATAATGAAATGAGGAAAATGAGTTGAATAAATTGATATGAGAGTGTGCACATATACATACATACAAAGATGTCAATGTGACTTTAATAGTGAGCTAGTAATCAGTTGATAAACAAATCGAATGTAGTCATAAAAAGTCTGCTGGAACGAGTGTTGCCATATGCGTCGAGTGAGAATTGGTAGTGCTGCCGTGCTGCAACTTTTACGCAAAGTGAGTTCTTAGTGGCTTAAAATAATTTTCTGCTTTGTAGATAGTCGAATTTTGCATGCAGTAGAAATTTTAAATTATGTAAACATACATACATATGTACATACATACATGAAAGTAAGCATCATATCTTGAAGTGCGGCTTTTACCACTTATTTAACTTATTTACATTTTTCTGAACATAAATATGCCAACAGCAAGTTTCGTGAAATCTTTTTAATTGAAAATTTAGTTTTCATTCGGCTTTTCACTAAGTTCTACCTGTTTAACCAGTTTCCAAATTAAACATATAAACAAAAAAATAATAATTTTTATTTTCAAACCAAATAATAAAAACGTTCAAAAATTAAAGAAAATTTCATTATTTATCGAAGTATTGATTTTTATGGAAAAAGCGCCGCAGGCGAAAATTTGTAATAAAAAATCGAAGTATTGATTTTTATGGAAAAAGCGCTGCAGGCGAAAATTTTTAATAAAAAATCGAGCGGTTTTTTATAAAAAATTTTCGTTATTTATCGAAGTACTGATTTTTATGGAAAAAGCGGCGCAGGCGAAAATTTTTAATAAAAAATCACGCGATTTTTTATTAAAAATTTTCATTATTTATCAAATTAACGATGTACGTTTTCTACATTTGTGTACTTTGAACTACAATAACACCAGTAAATATTATTTCCACCCGAAAAAAATAATACCGTTATGATCAGGAGTAAGACCCCTATCGATCCTGATATTATTATTTTTAATAAGAGCAATATATGTACGTATTGTACACTTATACTTCCTAATTATACGCACTTATTTGTGCATTTTTTTAACGTATGGTTGCATACATTTTGTGTTACTGTCAGCCATTGTTATTTCTGCTTGTTTGTGAAATGTGCAAACGTTTGTGAAGACATTTATAAACGCGTTTTACATAATTAATTAATTAAGAATTGTATATTAAAGTGGAAATGCAACTATTTTGCCGAAGTGTGCACATAAATAAAGTGTTTATTGTGTGAAATAGCGCCGAGAGGTTAGTTCAATTTACAAACTTTAACAACAAATAACTTAAAAACTAGAAGCCTGCTGCGGCTAAAAGTATATATATTTGCAATCAGGAGAACTCCCTCTATCGTTCCATAGCTACCTTAATGCGGAACTCCGGGGATGCCAAACTAAAATGCAGCCCATTTCTTTCTCGCAAATGATGGTAAGTAAAAATAAAATTTTGATTGAAATTAAATAAGAATAAGTAATTTTTTTTTTAATAATATTAAAATAAGTACATTTTAGCCGGCACGACTACACACTTATTGTTAAACACGATACCTGTGCGTAGTTTTTACTTCTTCTCATGTATTTTATAATGCGTACCTTTGTATGTATGCAGGTTGTTAATTGCCAAAAAAAAAACAAAGACCTAGTGGTCTAAAAACTAAAATTTCCAGATCTACATATGTATGCACATTATTGATTTTTTTGCAAATATCAAATTTTACATGAAATAGCCAATCTTGCTTTTTCGCTGCTGTCGGAAGAGTTCCCGCACCAAATGAGTTGAAATTTGGTCCCTATTTTTTTCTTTCTTTTTAGTTTAATTAAAATATTTCTCCGAAGTTTTAAACAAATGAGACTCACGAGGCGTATTAAAAGCTATTTACGGAAAATAATAAAACAATACTTTTAACTTAGAAGCATATAAATATTTTGTCGTTTACAATAATTCTTGTAATATACGTTTATTGTTTGTATCACACAAATTCATTATAATTTCAGACAAAAAGAAATAAAGCTGTGCAGAAAAATTACAAAGTCTGGGGCAAAAATTTTACTAGTTTTGAAAACAGAAAATATACATTGAGAGCCATACCAAATATATAGAAGACTCGTTATGTAAATTAAACTAAACAAAATCCCCGAGCAAAAAATTATTATTGGCAGATTTATTGGATTAGCAGCTTCAAGTCAAGCAAGTCAAAATAAATGGAAGATATAAAACCGTCTCAAAAGAATTATTCGATTTGTGGAATAAGCTCAAAGTTCCGAAAATAGCGATTCGAACTTATCAAAAGATTTTAAAAAGACCTAAGGCTTATAGTTTTTGAACAGCAGTTTTGATATAACCAATAAAATTTTAGAATGTTAGCCCGAAACAAGTAGCAATGAAGATGTAATGCGTGACTCTGATTCAGTTCCAATATTCGATTACGATCAAGATGACAACGTTGAGTATTTGAAAATGAACAGGAAAAGTCTTTGACAGACGAAAACGCGCTGGAAGACAAAGATTATAATTCTCCTGAAATGCTAAAAATTTCTGTAAAGGCAGCTCCATCATTGGTTAAAAATTTAAATGTGAGCACTTCAAAAGCATCTAAAATCTGCAAACAATTGGCTAAGTCAAGCGTTAACATTTTAACGCCATCACAAACA